GGTGTTTGTACCATGTACGCATTGTCCATCTACGGGTATGATTGATTTGACAGGAAATATAACCTCTAAAATTGTATCTGACAATCAGGCGCTACTAGGGAAATTGAAAAGACAAAGAGCAGAATATATATCTTGATCTTTTATTCACTTGAACCATTGTATTATAGAAAATAGAAAAGGACAAAAGTTCAGCTGTGTCCGGACTGTTATCGAACTAATACCATCCAGTGACTCTAGGAATTGCAAACTCCTCCCCTGGAATCGAGGAGAGTACCTCAAATACCTATCCTAAAGAACCTATGTGAAATTACAAACATCTAATCATTCACATTTACAGAAAATAATGTATACCATTCTGTTCACTATACGGTATCTACTCAGACCTTTCTGAATTGATCTCCTGCTTAATCCATATTTGGCATGATATGTGTATTCTCTCTACAAGAACATCTAGTTCAAAAGATGCTACCTCATGCAATAACTTCCTTAACATTCCATGTTATAAAGATCTATTTCACTTATTCAAAAACAATATTTATATTGAGTGGGGCAATTACTGGAGAGAAATAACAGAAAATTCAAATAGCTCATATTTTAGGGTACATGAGGAACTGCCTAATAAAATAAATTATATTTACGATTATGGAGCAAATAAAAAGTACTGTACCAATTATGACGAGATTGAAAACAAATCATGGATGTTTTCCATATCATCTGAATAAAATAGGGGTGATAGATTCTCCCTTATGTAACATAGATAATAAAATTGCGGATCTAAATCATATAATTTTTAGCTGCAGAAAATTTCCGAGAAATGATCTCTTTGAAGATCTTGTGAAGGTCGGGGCTCAGCTACCGACAACAGTAAACGTATTGCTTACTACAGGGGACAAAAACATTTTTGACATATTGGTCAAATTCATAACAAAAAACAATATTGAAATATAAACGAAAAATTTAAATTGTGTGTGGCTGAAGGACTAATGTCCATGGCCATTAAGGTAGGAGAAAAAAAAAAAAACATCTGGTTATCAGAACATTACTTCAGAATCATCTAAGTATCTATTATTATTATCTGTTTAGTCTACATGAACCTTATCATCAAATAATCAACAGTCATGATAAATGCAAGGAAATACTTTTAGTAACCTGAGTTCATGAAAAAGGCGGTATTTCATACCGACAGACAGATTCTGTTGAGGATCCGAAATGATGAGTGTTCAAAATAATCAATAAAATTCACTTGTGTTTAAAAAAAAAAAAAAGTGTTTTTAACCGCCAGCTTAGTTGCAAAGCAACCCTCGAAAGTCAGAGACTTGTGTGAGTTAAGAAGACGGGGACCTTAGCTTTTTAAGTGTCATCCGAAGCACTACTCGGCTGGTAACCGTGGACAGTCCAAAGGATTGATATCTAGGTACCAAGAATGTTGGGTTGGCCACCTATCTCCTCCCGCCCAACGAAACTACCGAAAATTAATTCAGTGCTCGCGCCGGGGATCGAACCCGGACCGCCTGGGCAACAGCCAGCGACTCTACGCTCACGGCCACCAGCCCAGTGTACCTGAATATTCTGCTCATCATTGAGATCAGTACCAAAACATGGTTTGAGTTTTGACACAAGCCAAGTACCTGCAGGTGTACCATCTAGATAACTTAACTCATGAGTAACTTTTGATAGCACTTCCTGATTCTATACCACTTCTATACGAAACGTGACGTTGTGCCAATTTTGCAGAAACATTATTGGCAGCATTAGACAGGATTGTATAACGCCTCCATACGAAGGTATCACAATTTCTCTCAATAGCTGATTTGTTGTGTTCATCATCAGCCTCAATCCTTACAAACCAAAGGTCCTATAATATGATACAAGTCAATCATGAAAAATATATGGAATATAGAATTCACTAACGTGGGAATGAAAAAACGGTATGAAAAACTTTGGATAAAATTATTGTGCAAAGCACTGGTTAGGGGTCAGGTGAATTGTGAAGGGGTCCTGAGTCCCTTTAAGGACGTAAATAATCAATTACAATCAACCTGACCCTTAACCCCAATGCTTTGCACAATGATTTTATCCAAAGTTTTTCGTGATGTTCCTCTCATTCCCACGTGATTAAATATTCTCTATTTCATGTATTCACCATGATCAACTTGTATCATATAATAGGACCTTTGGTTTGTGGGAATTGAGGCTGATGATGGACACATGACTGTCCGAAACATGTTGCTTCGAATGATCTTTCGATTATTAAACGTTGTGGAGATGAACTTGATGATCTACTTGAACGATTTCAATTTCCTCAAATTTTTTCTCGATTTCATTTTTGAATGAAATGAACGCATCTACAAACAATGGCTTGTGTTATATTATTAACTAGCTTTCAACTTCGACTTTACTCGCCTTAATTCCGTACAACGTGCAACTTTTGCTGCACGGGCTCGTGACGAACGTCTAGACAGATCAGGTGTTACGCTTTCGGGGCATTTAACAGGGTGAGTCAATTGTCCGTCCTCCTTCGATATTAGCAAAACCGTCAGATATACAGGGTGTTCCAAAAAAACCTGACTCCCCTACTAGGGTAGGTAGAACACTGCAAAATAAGTTGAGATTACTGAGTAAAAATATTTCGTAACGGCATCCGTTATCAAGTACAAGGTTTTGAAAAATGATTTTTCACACATTTTTCAAGATTAGGTCGAAACTACTGGCAACATCATATGAAATTCTGTATGGATGTTTCTTGAAATCTGACACATCGCATGCATTTGTTTTTATACCTGACTCTCATATAGAGGATGCTAGTTACACGGTTCGTATCGAGTAGTTTTGATCATAACTTTTTCGAGGTTAGAATTTTCAATCCAAATTTTATGTGAACTTTAACATCATTCAATTTCACATCAAAAAGGTACACTTGGTGAAATTCGATACTGTGTTCCGTTTTCGAAATATTTCGATTTGAAAATGATGAAGTGATAACTGTTGTTGGTATAGAGCTATGTATTAGAGTGAGTATTATGAAAAGTTATCACCTATTTATTGAAAATCGAAAACAGCCATACATTTCTGATGCTGAACTCAATGATTTAACAATAAATCACAATAATAAAATCGAAATAGATTCGACTAAGAACATGGATTACACCTCGGATTACACTGTTTTGTTCTATCTCAAGCAGAAAGTCTATATGCTACATCGATAAATTCACGTCAAAAGTTGTAAGCCATAATTGAACATCACTTGAATGACCTAACAGCTGATCCTCTATCATTCTCAAGAAAAGAATATGAAATCGTGAATTCTTCAAAACGTAGGACATTTTGAACACTTACTCTAACTGATTCAATATTTCATGTTTCTAGTCAAATATCTCTTAATTTTCTACTTATGATTCTTTGTTCCATCAATAACTTCAGGACAAGAATGATTTCATTGTTTTTGAATCTGAATAAATAGGTGATTGAACTCAATAAAATTCATTTTATACCATCATCATTACCACTCCATTATTTTCAAATCGAAATATTCCGGAAACGGAACATAGTATCGCGTATCACCAGAAGTACCTTTCTGGTGAAAAATTGAATGAGTAAAGCTCATATTATATTTGATTGAAAAATCTTACCTGAAAAAAATTATGTTCTAAACTACTCGGTACGAACCGTGTAACTAGCGCCCTCTATGAGGATCAGATATAAAAACAAATTCATGCGATGTGTCAGATTCCAACTAACATCCAAACAAAATTTCATTTCAATGTTGACAGTAGTTTCCACATAATCGTGGAAAATATGTGAAAAATTCATTTTTTCAACACCTTGTATCATGAAAACGGATGCCGTTACGACATTTTTTCACTGAGCAAACCCAACTTATTTCGCAGTGCTCTACCTACCCTAGCAAGGGGATCAGGTTTCCTTGAAACACACTGTATGGAAAGAATTCGAATACAACAGTTATGAGGTTTCATGAGAACTATCACCTCAAATTATTTTTATGCTTATAGGGTGTTCGAATTCCATAAGATATCGCTAGATGATGAATTTTTTAAATGGAACACCCTATATATTATGGCATTTTCAGGTTCTTTCTGAAGAGCTGACTTCACCAATGCATCACACTTGGGGTCTAGCAGAAATGATTATAGAGATATAGGGTATTCTAAATCGAAATTTTTCAACTTTAGATTTTTTTCGTGTCGAAACTATCCATTATTGGTATGAACGACTTCCATGTCCCTGTGATAACTCCCGATCTACTATCTACTGACATTCAATTGAAGAATACAAGTTGATAAAGATCCACTTCAGTGACGTATCCTATCAAGAAAAGTGTGGGGTGATGATATAACATGTACAGGGTACAGCATATCCAGTGGAGAGAGCAATACAAAAACATGGGATTGGGGAGCTAGTGGTGGAGGATCGGGAAAAATCGATACGAGTTTCTCCTATTCATTAGGAGAATCACTCAATCTTTCATAGCCTGGGAGCCAGCAACCGTTTAGAGTTAGTCATTTCACAAAAGCTGAAAATTCTTCCTGAGCTTTATTTGGGATAACTAGTAAGGGAATCAGCCTCCAGCTGGCACACTTCCGGGGGGTGTAGTTGCAGCAGCGTCCCAAACACGTAAAATTATAATAAAAAAAAACTGATATCACAAAAGCTGAAACTTTGTTAACATGTTGATTATCATACAAATAGATCAAAAAACGTATCCAGCCGAACTTATACTGGGGGATTATGCTCCAGCTTTTCACGTAAAGAAGTTAAAAATATGCGCTGAGTAAACTAATACCGCAAAAGCTGAAATTTGGTGAACAAATAGTTAAATTAATAACATAAACGATGAGAACATCCAGCTTTACATTGGGTGGGGGAAAAGTGCCCAGCTGATGCAGTGAAATACGCTGCGCATGGATATCTCGGGCGCATCGTATCTTTGACTGCATCAGCTGGATACTTTGCCCTCACTAAAATGATGAGCTGGAGGTTTTTTTTGTTAACCCATTATTTCAACTATAGGTACACCAAATATCAGCTTTTGCGGTATCAGGTATCTATAGTTTTCTCAAACTCAGCGCACATGCATGCATTTATTTAATGATAAATACGTAGGTATTACATTTCTGATCTGAAGGAAGATAATTAAAAATAGGTTTACTATCAATTTTTTTTTCAGTATTCCTTCACAAAAAATATACTAACAATACAAATTAACAGACATAGTGAACTAGTGTGTGTAACAAAATCAGATATCAACAATGTTTTCAGATTTCGGATCCTTCGGATTCATCGTCGTCGTTCCCATCATCGCTTTCATGATCGCTGCAATTGATGCTGATCCACGAAATATCTTCGTTATCATCTGTAACCATATATTGTATATTAACTATATATTGAAATATATAGATGATATTAATATAAAAACATTCAGAGCAAAATCTTAATGCAAATCAGATTATGAATATCAAAAAAAGTTGACATGATATACAAGATTGCTATAAATATAGATTAAACCAAAGAGAAAATATTCAAAAAATTTCTGACCTGTAGGACTTGTTTGATCCTCATTGATAGTTATATCACCAAGTGAAGAGGGAAGCTGCTCACCTTCGAACCATTTGAAGTGAAATTTTCCCTCCTTCTCTTTCCAGCCAAAATCAGTCGGATGTAATGCCGTTGGAACCTGAAGATGAGCGTGTGCCCAAATATTTGCTATATATGTTGTACGCAGCAAATGTTGGTGCAGTTCAATTTTGCAGGGAGGCAGAGCTGATCCATCGATGTTATTCTTCGGTAACCGGAATATGTCATCGTTTTGTGATATATTGTAGGTTTTCAAAAATGTTTCAACTCGTGCTTCATTCACTTTGTTGATTTTTTTAAATCCATACATTCGACATACATATTCTTCTGTAGTGTTGAAGGTATTCTCCAACTCGTCATCAGGTGCGTTGCTTAGTTTGATAAAATGTTCTATATATATTTCTGAGCTGTGTAAAATTTTATAGGGCCGGTTTTTTCCTTTCTTGAAAAATGACGGGTTATAGTCGCAACCCGTCAGGGCATGAAAAGCCGGAAGCGCTGCGCTCAATTTAGGGCCTAACGTTTCATACAATTTACTAATGTTAATAAAGCGTTGATTATTACCAACTCCAGCTTCCATTGAGACTTTAACATTCGCGTTACTCAAGGCACTCATGTTAGAAAGCATTATAACGGCCACGTCAGTATCCGAGCATCTTATCGTGACATGTGCATCGTAATCTATTTGGCAGACGTGGAAAACGATCTTCGTATCTGCTTCTTCATGAGCTGGACATGTTGATGAAACATCGTGCGTCCTTTCTACGTGGCCATTATTTACTTTATATTTATAGCACTGATCATAATTGATAAAAATGGTTTTATTACCAATGAAAGGTGCTGCGGAATCAAGTGCCCAGTGCTGTATAATAAAATTCACTAACGCCTCTTTGAATTTAGCATTTTTCAAGTCATTACTGAAATCAGAAGAACGTATTTGATCTGCTCCCTCGATGTGGAATTGTGTGACTTGCATCCCTCTCAGAGAATGTTCACTATCTTTGATCGAAGGAAAAATATACCTATCAAAGGCGATTACTACAACTTCCGCATCATTCGAACAAAACATACTTAGAATTTTAGTGGATATGTTTCCGTAAGTAGCTGGAATTTCCCTCATCAAATGAAGCATAAAAAATCCATCGAACACCTTCACGTTAGTCTGCTTCGGAATATGCGGCTCAACCTGCTGCTCGAGTATTTTCAATAGAGCTGCCTTATTAGTTTTGCAGATGGTGCCGTCTATGTGACACATTGATAATGGCACCGGCGTTAGAGGATATATCAAAACTTTTTCTATATCTAGAGATTTCTTCAAGGATATGCATAAAAATTGACCGAACAAGTCACGTTGCATACGCAGTTCAACAACTTTTCCTGACACTGGAATTTTCTTTTTTTGCATATTATCTGTGAAATTAAGTACTTTATTTCTTTTTATGGGTTTTTCAAATCGATTTTCATCTTCTACACATTCTTTAATAAAATTATCTCGTTGTTCATTACCCATTATTTCGACATTAAGTAAGAATCTTTCAATATTTTCTTGTACCGTTTGGCCCGTCGAAATATTAAATAAATAATTTTTATCTAAATCAGCAGAAAATGGATCAATGTTTTGTTTAATATTATCAATGAAATTATGAACTTGTTGAGAATTCTTAGTGATTCTGCTCTTCTGCAAGTCGGCAGTGATATCCTGAACTTTTCTCAGCCCTGTCTGGTCCATCGTATGACTTATTATTGTCGATCTCAAAGTGTGACTTTTGCACCAACGCTGTCGAGCAGATATCGAATTTGTCATGTGACTCACACCTGTAAGTTTATTGGCAGCATCGGCATTTATTGTCTGCTCTAAAGTTAAATCGACTGGTTGTCTTGAGTTCGGTTTGTCAGTTCTCTTCACACCAAATGTTCCCATTTCAAGTTGCTTCTTCAATCCTGGATGAGTTTGATCAACTTTCAGCAAATTATCCTGGTATTTCACTAAGTATCTAGAGTAGTTTTGTTGATTAAAAGCGAAACACAAATTTGCTATTTTCGACAAGATAGATGTGAACAGTTGCAAATTTCCACTTCGTACACTTGCATTCAGTGTTAAGTAGTGATCAATAAAAGTAACGTACATCATGTAAAACTGTGGAGTTTTACCGAGGTCTCCTTGCAGTGTTTGCTGTTTGAATTGTTGGTATTTATCGAATAAATCCTGTAGGTTTCGTGGCAGTACTCGAGGTTGATCAGATCTTTCTTCTTTGAATTGAGTTAAATATATTTTCATGTCATCGCTACATTCAATATTTTCCCGGTTCAAAAATTCTTCAAAATGTATAATTTGCAGGGCTAATGATGCCATTGGATGCAGTCGTTTGCACCTGTTAAAATGTTTTCCTGCAATAAAACTGTTTACAGATCCGTTCGCCAGCATTTGCGCGTTGACCATAACTGTCGTAACACCACAGTTGTCAATAAATTTACCAACTGCTTTAAAATAAGACATCATTATGTGAAAGGATCCTACATGAATAAATAAGTTGTCGTAACGTGGTTTTTCGGTACACTGAATTTGAAGTGCAATTTTAGTTATGGCAAGATCATATGTTACTTGCATATACTTTTCGCCGCATTCTCTAGCGACCTGTTGACTCTGCTTCATAGTTTCTAAAACAACTGATTTGTCCGTCGGTGAGGCGTTTATGGTGGTTAAGTAGCAGAGCTTTTGCGTTGGAGCAGTGTCCTTGTAGATCAAGCTATTGAAACCAACCCACATCGGTGTTTCGGGTATTTGAAGGTAGTGGGAAAGCATGAACGCAAAATTAATTTGTTTTAACCATTCTGAACTGGAGTTTGATAAATTTGATGAAACATCTGATGCAGGCTGTAAACGTTCGTGAAGTTTTGGTCTCTTATTGTATGGTTCTAATTCGTGAGTAATTGTGTCGAAAGTCCGCCTCCGTTTATTACTCTTTTCGGAAGAGCCTGCTGTACTTCTTACAGCTCTTGTGTCCTCATCATCCTGCTCGATAGAATTATCAATATTTTGAAAAATTATACCCACAGTGTCGTGCAGTGTGTCATGTCCAGATGATGTATCAACGAATCGATCGAAATTATCGAATGCGACACCAGTGCATAGATTTCCTGAGCGAATGATGCCTTCAGGACAAATATCAGAACGAATGCTAGAAGTAAACGTGGCTTCAGTTTCGATACCCTCCAGACTTGTATAGCTACAGCAGTGGCCATATCGGTTGATAATATTAACAATCTTCTTGCTATTAGTTAAACTTTTCAGACTCAAACCAAGGCATATATGTTTCGAGGGTTTTATTCGTCCATTCGTCACTGCATATATGATATCCTCGGAAAAAGATTTTGCTAATCTATTTCCATTTTCGCCACGCTTACGTCGATAATTTGGCCCGCTAAGTAGATTTAAATAAAAATCAATCAAGCTCTGTGGAATATCACACTCTCCTCTAATCAAATCAGTTGAATTGAGCTGATCTGGCAATTGGCGTCGCTTAACATTTTGTATTTCCTGTCTTAAAATCAATGCTGCATGAAATAAAACTTCCTCTTTTTCGATCAGATCAAATTCTTTCTGTACTACAACGCCTTTGTAGGGTTTCACTAGTTTTTTATTATTGTGTGACACGACGGTTATTTTTTTTGAGAATGTAGCTAGAAGCCGATTTTCTAGATGGTATGGCTTCATCGTATACGCATCTGTGTTTGCCTCATGTCTTTCCAAATATTCTATAAATATTGCGTTCAGAAACGAGAGAAAATACGACTGGTTTTTGATGATGATATTTTCTGTAACAAATTCACATACTTCCCTATATGCCCGAGAATGAATATCGCGAGCTATATGCCATTGTGACTTTGGCTTCTCTTTACTTTTTTTCGATGAGACTGTATTTTCGTATTTTTTTCGACAAATAGCATGATAAAATATATATTTTTCTTCTATCGACAAATTATGCAATTTTTGAACGAATTGTATATCTTCCAAGTTCATAGCGATTTCCTGTATATTTGACAATGCCTCTGCCTTCTCTAATACATGCATTGGTTGCTCACGCCCTTGATGTTTTTTCCTATTCTTATCACAGAATAAACAAATAGGATTATGTGATACCTCTTGAGCAATGCCAGATACGTTAACATCGTCAACATTGGCCTCTTCGCCCGCAGCAACATGATCGTCTGTATCGACATGTTCGGGTTCAACATTGTCGTATTCAACATCAACCTCTCCTTCTCCTTGAACTGCAGCCTCTTCTCTACCCTCATCTTCACTATCACCTTCAGTTCCAACGGCATGCTCTTCTTCCATAGCACTATGGTGGATAAAAAAGAAATGTATAGTGAATCATGCATGTATGAAATAGAAAACCTCTTGGTTGGGTATTGGCCCTACAATTAGCCCAATATTTTCGATTCGTACTACTGGGGAAGATAAAAGCACTTACTCTATACTTCTTGAGGTTGAGGGTACCTGCTTATACGGATCATATCCTCTCTGTTTAGGCGGTAATGCAGTAAAACGGCTATGGCACTGACTGTGATACACTTGAAAAGTATTCGGCTCTTTCGGTAACACAACATTGGAGAAACTCAAACCAGCGTTTTTCCGAATTTTCAATATTGGTATGCACTTAGTTATCTTATTTGCATCAAAAAGATTCAATTTTCCGCCTTTTTTGGAGCAAAATACACAAAAGGGATGTATGTTGGACATTGTCGCAGCTTCGATTGGAATATGTCATTTAGACAAATTTGTACACATCAAATGAACGCCGTTTCCAAGAGATTAAAAAAATGATGAATTGAACTCTGATGCGATCACTGCACTCCCCTTGGCTAAATATATCAGATGATCACAATTTTTTTGCAGTTTCATTTTGAATTTATCTGTGTGGCCAAATTAGTCGGAACATAAATATTTTTTTCATTATGAATATACCACAAAATACTTCTGCTATTTTTGCAAGCATGTTTTTTCAGTGTAGGTAACAAATTTTGAGCCACCGAACATCAGAACATCTCTGATTCTGAGCAGAGGCGCCAAATTCTAGTAGGAGTTGGCCGAGAGAGGGCAGTGTCGGTTCACACCTGTCCATCAGCACATATTCGATGATAAATCTGTGGATTCTGCCAGCGCATTTGATGCATGGACAGCGCGCTGTGTTTAATGAGAGAAGTATAGATACCTGATACCGCAAAAGCTGATATTTGGTGTACCTATAGTTGAAATAATGGGTTAAACAAAAAAAAATCCCGCTCATCATTTAGTGAGGGCAAAGTGTCCAGCTGATGCAGTCAAAGATACGATGCGCCCGAGATATCCATGCGCAGCGTATTTCACTGCATCAGCTGGGCACTTTTCCCCCACCCAATGTAAAGCTGGATGTTCTCATCGTTTATGTTATTAATTTAACTATTTGTTCACCAAATTTCAGCTTTTGCGGTATTAGTTTACTCAGCGCATATTTTTAACTTCTTTACGTGAAAAGCTGGAGCATAATCCCCCAGTATAAGTTCGGCTGGATACGTTTTTTGATCTATTTGTATAATAATCAACATGTTAACAAAGTTTCAGCTTTTGTGATATCAGTTTTTTTTTATTATAATTTTACGTGTTTGGGACGCTGCTGCAACTACACCCCCCGGAAGTGCGCCAGCTGGAGGCCGATTTCCTTACTAGTGATACTAAATGAAGCTCAGAAAACATTTTCAGCTTTTGTGCTTTTGGTCATTGAAAAAGGTCGCTGGCTTCCGGGCTATCAGATGGATTTAACATTCATTGCCTCAATTATGTCAACAAGTTTATCTCGATTTTGTCTTCGTGATTTATTTTTCTCCAAGAGTTCATCATCATCGAGAGGTTCCAATTGAAAATTGGCGTCCTCACTTTTCCATACCAAATCAGAGCATGACAAGAGAATGAATCGGTAGTTGATTGGAGAATTTCTAATTCAGAAACACTATTAGTCCCATGAAATTTTATTTCCCTTTCATAGACTGGGATAGATTCACATTTTCCTGAAGTAAAACTCGTCGATACTCTATTCGTATCAGGTAACACATTGAATATAATTTTGCTCTATATTCAATGCAAGTGAAAACACCATGATCTTTATATTCAGACAAAAAAGACTTCAACTCTACAGGTTGCTCAGGAATTTATAACATTGCGTCTGAAGTAGAATCTGAAGGAATGATACTCGAAAAGTCTAAATCTGCAGAAGTATTACCAGAGAAATATTTTTTTCTGTTTCGGACTCATTATTGATTCAACAGATGCAGTTATAGTACTGATCGATCTGTTCAAATTTATCCTTCCAGATGTGAGAGTTTTTCTAGGAGCATTTATGGGCCAAATACGTAGCTTATTATATATGTGATGTTTTCAACGATTGACTCTGTTCAGTGTTCAGTGACTATCAGGTTTCTCTCACGAGTTTGAAGTTATTAGCACTTGTGGCTGTCTAACCCGCCGCTAATCTCCTGAGCTGCGTTTTGTTGACACGCCAAAAGAAATTCTCAGGACGAAGTGCTTCGGAAGCCAGCACACTAGATCAGAAGGGACATTTTCGTTTTTCTCTCTTCGCTGCATCTGATCCCCTGAGCTGCATATTGACAGTAAGAATACCCAGAAAAGATTGCAGAATCTAGCTGCTCGGCAGATAGAGCATTTTGTTGACATTTTCGTTAGCATCATTCAGATGGGACAGTTTTGTTGGCATCTGTGTGCAATAATGATGGGGCAATTTGTGAACATCTGCTGATGTGGCTACGAATTGTTTGAAGAGGCTCTGGCCACCTCATAAAAGTTTTGGACCACGGCGACGAGGGATTGAAAATCAGCGACTGCGTGGTAAAAAATCATTCAATCAGTGTGGTGTGGTATGGCATACCCCAAATTTTATATTTTCTTAGTTTTTCAATTCTCAAGATTATAATTATATCAATGAGTGAGTCACTATTGACAAGTAGATAAGTTATTGATGACGAGTTGATAAGTCACAAATCACATGTGATCAGGTCACTATTGATAAGTGAACAAGTCATTATTGACGAGTAAATGAGGCACTTATCGCGAATAATTGACACTAACGATTAGATTAAGTCTCTAATGACAAGTGAATGAGTTACTAATGACAAGTGAATGAGTAACTTATGACAAGTACCCAAGTCACTAATGACAAGTGCTGTGTTCACGTATGGTAATCAATATGAAGTTTGATGAAACAGGTTAATGGTGGTAGGTGTACATTTTCAGGAATACAAATTCTCATGTGACTATCGACTTGTTTTCTTATTCCAAATAGTGAACAAGTCTTCACTCAACACTTTTACATATTCACCTATGGTTAGTGATCCGTTTTTGTTCATGTATAATAACCTGCAAGTGAATAAGATCGACGATATTCCATAAGTTCTGTGAGAACCATTGTTGCCGAATTTTGTGTAGATTCGCAGATTGCTATTTCGAAGCTACCTGGCATGAGAAGTATCTGACTTTGCGAAAATACGAAACCACACTGCTCGCGGGTGGCAGGTGAAATACAATATGGGCCAACGCCTAGAAATCATCGAAGACTTAGGTCAGACGAGCATTGGATGGGGGTGAAGTTTTCAGTTGGTACATCTACACATAAGGACTTCCACACTATCAAGAAAAAAATGGGTTCTTTGTGATGTCCATGAAGAAATTCGAAGAATTCTGCAATAACAGTGGTGCATTTATGACATCATGCAGCTATATAAACCTGATTATAGCGAATAAAACGTAGTTTGATGACCAAGGTTTCTTGTTACAGTTTGCGGTCAGATATCACCATCTTCAAAATCATATAAAATTCCGAAACTGGAAGAGATACATATCACCACTCACAACCTTCGATGCATGGTTCCACGAACCAAAATCTCACCAGCTGTAGCTACTCTCAATGAATAAAACATGAGATTATAGGTTATAACGAATTTTCGTCAGCTGGATCTCAAATTAACATGGATCCGGAAATTATACGACATGAAAATTGCTACATGATCACATCGAATATGAGTAACTGCCACAAGGCTTGATGTTTATCATGTTCCTGAAGTTCATGCTCCTTGAGATGATCTGAATCATGAATAATCCATAAAGTGGTGGATCAAAGTGGTAGGACATGAAACAAATTAGTATTGGTTGGGATAAGACCTTTTCTCGTTACTGAATTACGAATAATTTTTCTATAAAATTTTTTTTTCAGTGTGTCCTCACATCATCTCATCGAAAATCATATGCTAATTGATCATACCAAGAATTCAAGATCAATAGATAGGAGTTGTGGGTCCTACGTTGATATTATTGGTTTTGAGACCTGTTAGGGGAAACAGCTCCTTATATATTTTTCACAGCGAAAGAAAGACCAGAATAAATTACCTACATTGAACTTTGCCTGAATATTCACATATTCAACAACAATCAACCAGTCTCGTTTTCGTAAAACCATCAATGTTTTTAGTTGATTATTATCAATATTAATCAAAAAAAAATATAACAATGGCCATGCTTCTGACCTTTGGTACTAGCGGAAAAATAATCTTCCGCACTTGGACATTTTGTTCTAATAGGCTCATTCATGTGTTATGGTCAATCTTCATCGCAAGTTTACCGAATGAGTTAATGAGCACATTCTACTCGAATTCTTTTTTGCTCTATATGTGGAGGAGTTGAAAATAAACGATGTCGTTATTGTGGGATCTGAATAGGACTATACCCGAAATTTTCGAGGGCAAAAGTGTTTTCATTACAGGTGGTAGTGGTTTTATCGGTAAAGTTCTGATAGAGAAACTTTTGAGGTCGTGTCCTGGCATTAAAAATATTTACGTCTTGGTGAGGCCAAAGAAGAATAAAAATATTCAGGAGAGGGTCGAAGCTCTCTTCGATGTACCTGTAAGTATTAACACATATTTTCGACTTCACACAAAATGTTGATCCCATAAAAAGGCACGATGAGGAGATACTGAGGACTTGTTACTGCGATGAGATATAAGGTCGTGCATATAAAGGATAGGGTAATCGAGTACAAGGCATAGATTGTGTTTCATAAGAATCCCTACTGATGAATTTGAATACCCAGTATTTGTTTATTTATTTATTTCTTTATTATATTTCATCCCTACAGACCACACAGGTCTCTTCACAGGGATACAAATGTTGATCAATATACTAAAACATTAATACTAAGATATAAGGAAGATTTTAGATGCAGTTGTATGTATGTTGAATCTAACCTATGAATTTAATGAAAATAACAATTATGTCTAAGAAAGAGGGTTCATCATTTTGTATAGTTTTTCATAGTACGCATAGAAGTCAGTCTAGTTCAAACATAGATATTCATGAGGTGATGTGCAATTGCTGATCGAAATGCATTTTGTGAGGTTGTCCATTCTGAATCTAGTAAGGCGTTGAATTAATTTGCTAGCCTCAACATGGCCACAAGCGGGGGTCTTGTAGTAAGCACGAGAGGAATATTAAACATTGCAAATGATCGTGTTCTTCTTGGGAGGATATTGAATCTTATTAGTGAGAGTATTTTAGGTGAATTGATTCTGTTATTCAGCAAATTATGCAAAAAAAATCAAAACAGTAAGATTTCGTCTACTTTCCAGTGACATAATTTTAAATTCATTTCTCAACTGATACGATCGAATAGTTTTATAGTCTGCACGTTCATTATATTTTTTAAAATGAATGAATCTCAGAAATTTGTTTTGTATTTTCTCTAACTGACTCAATCTAGTGTGGTATTCTACAAACCATATGTGTGCACCAAATTCTAATTTAGGTCTAATTAGACTGTAGTAAAGGATTTTGGGAGGATTGATGTTTGTGAAATTTGTAGATTGTCTGATGATATGTCCCAGCAAACGGTTCGCAGATTTCAATATGTTTGTAATGTGTAAAGAAAAAGAAAAGTTACGATCATAGGTGATACCAAGATCTTTAACATTTTCACAGCGCGCCAGAACCTCATTCTCAATTGTATATTCGAACAAAATTGGAGTTTCTTTTTCTTGTGATAGTCAAACCGAAACACTTTTTGATGTTGAAATATAGCTTATTACTCAAACTCCATTCATATAAACTGTCGATATCTTTTTGGAGCATAATACAATCACGTATAGTATGTATTTTTCTGAAGATTTTCAAATCATTCGCAAATAATAGACTTTTTGAAGTTTTTTGTACCGACGGTGAATCATTGATAAAAATTAAAAATGGCAGGGGACCTAAATTTGAGCCTTGCGGAACGACCAAATTGGCTTCAAATTTTCCCGAAGTATTTCCATTATGTCTTACCATAGAATATCTTTTTTCTGAATAGATGCTGATTGTCTTGAGAAAATTACCAGATAACCCAAACTTGTATAGTTTCGATAACAACACGCCGTGATCCACTTTATCGAAAGCTTCACGAAAATCGGTATAAATTGTGTCTAGCTGTGATTTTCCTTCCAAAGTCTCGTACACATGGTTTCCAAAAACGAACAAGTTTGTTCTGATAGATTTATTAGCCATGAAACCATGTTGTTGGGGCACAATATACTTTTCAATGTAGTCATATAAATTGCGATAAACTATGGATATGGGCTTTTTTAGGTTTTAATTTCTTCAAGGTGCTGTTGTAATCTGAAACGGTAATTTCATCCAAAACAAAAGTTTCATCACATGTACCGTTACTTTTATATCCGAAACTCAGATAATATGACGCTTTTTCTGGAGAATATACTGGAGAAAAAAAATTTGCAAACGCATTAGCAGTTTATCTTCCTTCAATGTTTTCGCTGTTGAGTGTGTACGAACCACTATTCTTGTTACTTTTTCCTTTATATGCTACATAATTCCAAAATTTACTTATATCTGTTGTCATATCCTTCTCTAACTTCTTAACATATTTTTCTTTTTCTAGTTTAATCAACTTTTTCAGCTTCTTTCTCGCTTCAGTATACTTATCTCTATAAAAATTCGATATCATTTTTAATTTACTATACTTTTCTTTTTCATTCAGCAGAGTTTTAATTTCGCTTGTGAACCATATTGGAAAACATTTGGAATTAGTCGGTACAACGTTTTTAGGTACATGATTCTCTATAACTCTATACCATACTTTATAGAAGTTATCTAAAGCAAAGTTCACATTAGTTTTTTCAGATGAAACACTTTCCTAATCAGAATCTCGAATGCTATTACTCAAATTAAAGAAATCTGCTTTTTTATAATTGTATCTTGATTTTTTTGTGACATTTGCATTGCATTTCGAATCACTGTCTATAGTAATAGAAATCTCGAGGGCAGGATGGTATGCGTCTTCTTTCACAAAAGGGAGGAAATCCCTTTTCACCCTGCAATTGTTCAGATTATTTTCTGAGCTGATGATTGAATCTGAAGTTTTGCCTAGGAAATTTTTCACGTCATTATATAATTCAAAAATTATTGAAATCAATGGAATCATTGAAAGTATCTAGAATGTTATTCGAGATATTGGAATCATAGTTTATTCCAGTTATATCGCGTATATTGAAATCTCCCACAATGTGAACTTTATCAACATTCTGCATCATATTATCTTGTGAAAATTCAAATGCTGATTCATACACATCACATATGCTACCAGAAGGAATGTATATGCCATAAATTGTATATTTACATTTCCTTACCTCTCAATTATAACTGATTCAAAGTCAGTACCATGTTTGATAATTTTCAAAATTCTATACTTTTTTTTAATTGCTATGAGAACTCCACCTCCCTTAGATTTCTTTGTATACTCCAGGTTTCTGTGAGATCTTACTAAATTATACAGACCTTGATCTACTACTTCTCCATCACCAACCCCTTCTTGTAACCATGTCTCGACAGCAATCACAATATCATAGTCCATGTTCAAGGTACTTCTATAGAATTTATCGCATTTCTATCATTCTAGCTACCCTACTGTGAAACAGGATGGAGACAAATTTCTTTCGTTTCGTACCTACCCTATGTAGTAGCGTCTCGCGGATTCTGTGTCTTCCGTCACTCTGAAATTATTGAATGATCAGTCGTTTATATAGATAATACCTTGGACGAGAAATGAAAGCTCATGAAGAGGACAATGCAAAGTCCTATTGTTTATGAATGGATAGGTGGAATTATGTGTTTTCCATTCTTTGGAGATCTCCTCCATAATCTTCATCAAAATAGCAACAAAGAGATATTCAATCGGAATCCAACGTCAGGAAGGTCACATTGACTACCTACCTGTCTGAGTGTTCCTGTCAACTCGAGAAAAGCTCCTATCAATCAGTTTCATGCTATTTTCAGCAAAGGATATTTCAGAATTGTCTCTCTTGAAGATAATCAGTCCATTATACTTCATACTAGGAGATAGGTTAGTAGTGGAAAGAAACCACAGGAATTGATATTGGATCTGGAATGAATAGTTCCTGTCTCTAACACAACATTTCAGACCGATCACCTGACCTGTGATCATTCTGGTGGAAGCCAGCAGTATCTTTGGTATATTTAGCAATAATTGTTGATCGAGTTGGGGAAAAATCTCGGGTTCTGAGAACAGATATACTCTTGCATTATATTAACCTCTGAGAAATAAAATGAACCACCATAGGTTTTCCAGCGAACACGAATACGTCTGGAAGCCAGCAGTATCTTTGGTATATTTAGCAATTGTTGATCGAGTTAAGAGGAAATTTTGGGTTCTGAGAAGAGAAATATTCTTGCATTATATTAACCTCTGAGAAATGAAATGAACCACCATAGGTATCCCAGCGAACACGAATACGTCTCAAAAATTGATCGGCAACCTCCTTTCAGCTAATAGTGACGCCTCATCTCACTTCTTTGAGCGGTTGTCAGGATCGCCATTTTTGCTCCAAATGTCTGCTGCCCAATTATTCTCAACGAGGTCGAAGCGATATGACGAAAAAAGTCACATAAAAAACATTCATGGTAGTTCTTTGTTAAATTCGCATACAAGACCTTGTTCCTTCAACTTGGAGAGATTTGCATCATTAGCGACTGACGAACTCTCTGAGTATTTCCACACAATGCCTCGTGGTACTCAAGTACTCCAGGAGATTCTCATCAAGTACTACTGACAAGGTCTGTAGGTTTTGGCAACTCCTAGTTATCCAGAATATTCGCTCACATTGGCTGGGGGTGAGGAATTCAGGAAGATTGCAACAACTCCTACTCGGAAATACAAGTTATTCAAAGAATTCACTGAAGATTTTGAGAGTTGCCTTCAAGGACTATTCAAGACATTGCCATTAATATCTTCTGGCAAGTTATTCGAGATATTCTTGTTCTTATATCACCCACAAATCCATTACCTACTTTCTCCTTATAGCCTTCCTTGGTACTCACAATCTTCTCTGGACATAACAGGACGCCCTTTTCGAGCTCCCCGATAGGTATTCATTCTGTTTTTCAGTAGGACAAGTGTGAGAATGATTTGAAAATCACCTTTAGAAATTCGCAGTATTGTTAGATTCGATTCTGGCTCTGACTAGATCATGGGTTTCGAAGAAGAACGTGACAGATGAGAATGATGTTGAAAAATTATGTAACAATTTGTTCGATCCCTTGCTATCCCTGTGAACTCTATGCATTACGCTATCGCTGAGGTCACAAAATAGTTCGAATTTACATGAAATTCGATAATTATTAGGAACATCAGGATATTCTCATTGCCACCGGAATTCTTGCGGGATACATAATACTGAGAGAAAATATGAGTGATCATAATGAAAATTATTGTGGAGGTTATAACCGTCATCACAATATCTGCAATGAATAGGGGAGAGATGTGTTTATTCACCACCATAAATAAAGGTTATTTCCAGGGCGTTGGGAGTCATAGTAAGAATATTCAATTTGTGAACTTG